CATCTTCAAAAAAAATGTGGATCGGATGAACGGTCCACGGAGTCCAGAAGAAGGCGAAGCATTACAGAGGATCAAAACAACGGCCAACGAAACTGGCCCTTGATTAGTAACTCGATGAGCCCCCATATCTTGGATTACTCTAATTATTATTAATTTTTTAATTACATCCTTTTTAAATTTATATAATGTCATTCTTAACTTATCAAAACCTTTACATTATATATTTTTATTCCTACAAATCAAAATCAACTATCAAATGCAATCAACTTGCTTGAAACAATTGATCAAATATTGATACAACAATTGCGAGATCAAATTAAAATTAACTCTTCCAAGGATCTAACTAATTTAGTTGCGTTTATTTTTTTTGTTATAATAATTTTTAATTGCTATATAAACACAACATAATAACATAGTTGTCATTAATTTTTATATCTTTATTTTATTTTTATTTTCATAATTTGTAATAAAATAGGTATCATGCATGTAAAAATGTAAAATTAACTTTTTAAGTATATATGTGTCAAAACACCAATAAAAACAAACAATCCAACATTTATAGTCAAACGACGAAAAACAAAAAACAAATATATTGATCAAATTTGTACATTCATACATATTTAACATTCAATCCATTCAGTTTTCTTATTTATATATATAAATTAAAATTAAAAAAAAAAAATCCACTAGCTAAATTCTTATAAGTGTTAAAGTGGAAAAAACAAACACATTTAACGTCATAGGAGTGTAGGGTAGACTAATATTTTAGAAATAGTTTGACTAGCCATTTTTAATATATATTTTCTTCATAGCAACCAACGATCAAAGAAATATGTAGATCAATCGACCTATTAGTTTTAACATCCACTTNTAATTTTTCTGTCAATTTTTTTATTAATTTTTCTATCCATTTTTTTATTAATTTTTCTATGAATTTTTTTTTATTTAAGATAAATTTGGACTTCAAGCACTTTGTTGAAATATTTTTAAAAGTTAATTTTATTTAAGACAATAACGCAATCGTCAAAATTTTTTCAATTCCTTCCAAAATTTATTTTGTTCAATTATTTCCAAACACTCAAATATAATATATTTGAGTGCTAATTAAAAGTTTAGAGTTTAGGGCTTATTTCTAGAAAATTATTTTCGCTTACATGTTGATTAACTTATAAAATTATATTTTTATACTGATTTTTATAAATATTAATTAACTAATGAAATTACATTTTTATACTCTTTTTATAAATTGTTTAATTTTTTCTTTTATAATAAATTTCTAGATTTTATTAATTACATTTTTTGACCCATTATTATAAATCATTTATATTTTTTTTTTAATAATGATTTTCTCGTTTAATTAACATAAAATATTAGTAATAAAAAAAGCAATAAAAAAATTAATATGTAAACCCTAAACCCTAAGTTTAAAAACATTTTTAAAACTTATTATCATTTATATTTTATATATTTTCTTTTTTATTTATAAGTTTTGATCAAAAATTATTTTGAAACTTCATTTTAAATTTATTGAAAACAGCAACTTTTTTTTCTTAATTTTATTTCAATTTTCTTCATTTTAAATTTCAACTTATAATATTTATATTAATTTTTAAAATGTAGCTTTTTAATTTTGAAAATTTTTGGATTTTTTGTGTTATTTTTTATTTTATAAAATTTATATTACTTTTAACTTAGCAATTTTGAAATAAAAAAGTTTTAAGGAAAATTAACAAAAAGTTTTTAAATTTTTCTTTAAAATTATTCAAAAGTTTATAGCAATTTTGTTCAAAAGTTTTAATAAAAAAGTTAATTTTCTTTAAAACAAAAAACAACTGTAAAAATTATTAAATTTTTGTTATAAGCTTTTTCCAAACACTAAAATTATTAAATTTTCTACAATTATTTTATATTAAATTTCTTAATTAAGTTAAAATTTTTGTTTAAAAATATCTACAAAAATTATTCTGATTTATATTTTATATATTTTCTTTTTTATTGATAAATTTTGATAATAATTTATTTACTGAATTCATTTATATTAAATGATTAACTATTTTTTTCTTTATTCTTTTTTTATTTTATTTTTTATTTCACATTTATATTCAATGATTAACTTTTTTTCATTTTTATTTTTTTTATTTTTTTTTTTTAATTTTTAAAAGACAACTTGAAAAATGTTATCTTAAAAAATTAAATTGAAATTAAAACAACTTCTCAAAGTCTTTTTTATTTAAAGCGAAAACATAATAGTCAAAATTATGAATTTTTACAAAATTATTTTTAATACAATTATTTGCAAACACTAAAATAAAATATCTACGAGTTTAGATTTTAGATTTATTAACTAATTTAATAAAATTTTAAATTTTTATCTATTCAAAAAATGTTTTCAATTAAATCAATTTATAAAATTTTATTAAATTTATTTTTTATTAATTAACTAGCAGACAAACTGTTATAATTAACAAAAAATTAATTCATTTCAAAATCTTTTAAAACAGATATTATCATTTATATTTTATATATTTTCTTTTTTATATATTATTTTATTAATTAACTAGCAAATATACTGTTTTTTACTCTTAAAATTTTTTGTTTTATATTTAATAATATAAAAAAATTTGTTTTCAAAATCTTTTAAAATATATATTATCATTTATATTTCATATATTTTCTTTTTTATGAAAGTTTATTTTATTTCTTTTTTATTATATAACTGGTTTTTACTCTCTTAAAAATTTTTGTTTCATATTAATAATGTCAAACAAAATTCTATTCAAAATCTTTTAAAATAGATTTATCATTTATATTTTATATATTTTCTTTTTTATACAAATTATTTTGTCATTTTTTTTTTAATATATGAAAAGAGAAACTTTTTTTTTTTTCAAATTTTTTTTATTCAATTTTAAAAGACAACTTCTTCATTTCTTAAAAAATTCAAATTTTTACAATTTTATTTTATTTAAAATAAAATTCAATTCATTTAAACTTCAAACAATGTATTAAGTTTATTTAAAACTTTACTTTATTTTAGCATATTTTAAAATTTTACTTTATTTAAAACGAAGACACAATAGTCAAAATTATTAAGTTTTCCCAATTTAATTTTTAGTCAATTATTTCCAAAAAAATTATTTTTTGTAAGTAAAACTCTAAATTAAAAATTTATTAATTAATTAACTTTACAATTTTACTTTTTTAGTTGTTTTCAAAAAAATTATTTTCGTTTTAATATTAATTAACTACTAAAATTACATTTTTAAACTATTTTTTATAAAAAAATTAGAATTTTTATTTTATATTATATTTCCAGTACAATTAACAAAACATTTGTTTTCAAATATTTGAAAAACTTATTATCATTTATATTTCATTTATTTTACATTAAATTTCCGGGACAATTAACATTCAATTTTTCAAAAACTCATTATCATTTATATTTTATATATTTTATTTTTGTTATTTGTAAATTCATTTAAAATTTATTAAAAAGGAACCTTTTTTTTCTTAATTTTATTACAATTTTCTGAATTTTAAATTTCAACTTTTAATATTTTAATTAATTTTTAGAAGGCAACTTTTTGTTTCGGGGAAAAATTCCAAATTTATTCTATTTTATTTTATTTTACAAATATTTAAATTAATTATAACATCAAAACAATTTGCAAAATATTTTTTATAAGTTAATTTTCTGTAAAACGAACAGTAAAAATTTAAATTAATGTCCAAAGTCCAAACATTGAAATAAATTATTTTTTTATTTGTAAGTCAAAGTTTAAATTAAAAATGTTGCTGCCCAGAATCGAACTGGGGACCCTCAGTGTATAACTGACGTGATAACCACTACACCACAGCAACTAAAATTTTAAAGTTTTTTTAATATTTTTTCAATCATTTATTTTCATTTAAATAAAATACTAAAAAATATCACCACAACAAATTTAAATTTTTTGTATTTATTTAAAATGGAAAAAATATTACTACAAAAAATATTTTTAAACTTTAAATTTTTAAACTATTTAAATTTAATTTTTACAAAATTACTTTTATTTTGATTTTTTTTAAATGGATAAAATTTTACTAGAAAAACAAATTTAAAACTTTAAATTTTTAACTTGTTTTAATTTAATTTATACAAAATTACATTTATTTTAATTTATTTAAAATGGAAAACGAAAATAAATAATTATAAAACTTCTTAAATTCATTTTTAAATTTTTAAAATTAATTTTTTCAAAAAAAATTCCTATCTTAAGCCCCCTAAACCCTAATGGCTCTAAAAAGTTATAAAGGCCCTAAAGGGTTATAAAAGCCCTAAAAGGTTGTAAAGGCCCTAGAGGCCCTAAAGGTTATTAAGGCCCAAAAAGGTTGTAAAGGCCCTAGAGGCCCTAAAAGGTTATAAAGGCCCTAAAAGGTTGTAAAGGCCCTAGAGGCCCCAAAAGGTTATAAAGGCCCTAGAGGCCCTAAAAGGTTCTAAGGACTTTAAAGGCCTTAAAATGTTCTAATCTAAAAGACCCTAAAATCCTTAAAATGTTCTAATCTAAAAGATCCTAAAGGCCCTAAAAATCCTAAAAAGCTCTAAAAAATCTAAACTACCTACAGGTCCTAAAACGCCCTCACCCCCCTCACACTCCCTCACCCTCAACTCCTCAACCCCCTCCACGACTCCACCCCATCAACCCCTCAACCCCCTCAAACCCTCCACCCTCAACTCCCTCAACCCCCAACCCCCTCCACAACTCCACCCCATCAACCCCCTCAACTCCCTCAACCCCCAACCCCCTCCACAACTCCACCCCCTCAAATCCTCCACCCCTCCACCCGTGAACTCCCTCAACCCCCCAACCCCCTCCACCCGTCAACCCCCTCCACCCGTCAACCCCCTCCACCCGTGTACTCCCTCAACCCCCCAACCCCCTCCACCCGTCAACCCCCTCCACCCGTGTACTCCCTCAACCCCCCAACCCCCTCCACTCTCTCAACCCCTAACCCCCTAACCCGATAGTTTTTTTTTGGTAACCAAGGTATCCGAGAAAGCGCATTTCAACTAGTCCTCGGGAGGAGACTAGTTTACGCTTAAGCTCGACTAATCCTCGGGGGAGACTAGCTATGGCACCCACCACCACGGTCTCCCACTTTAAGATCGCGGATGCTCAGATGGGGAATCAAACTTGACACCGTGCTACTCACGGTCCCCAATTCGCCCTAACCATCTGAGCTACCCACGAGTGGGCCCTAACCCTATTACTATACCTATAATAATTCTATTCTAATCACTATGTTGTTCTTATCACTATTCCGATTTCTACGTCTATCACTATTCTTGTTCAGGTTACTATTTTGATCACTACTCATATTCTACTAACTATTCCTTTTCAGGGTTTAGGGGGACTATTCTAATTCCAATCACTATTCATGTTTCTATTCCTACTATTGCTATTCAAAAAAATAACCACACATATATAAAAATTAATAACAGATATAATAAAAATTGTATCAAATAATTTGTAGCCAAGAAAATAAACATAAAAATTGTGAAAAGAAATCTTATTCACCACATTCATATTGCAGTTAATGATGACAAAAAACATACCGTAGCAACCCCCTCATATAGAGGAGTGATAACTCCACCACCGAAAGAAACACCTTCCTCAAAACTGCCTTAAAATTTCCTCCTTTTTCCCTTCCCATCTGTAGACTAAGTTTAATTAGAAAATTCTAACAGACATAAATAATGCAGAACCAGTTTATATACATGCAAAAACAAAAAGGACCAACCAATATATAGCCCAAACATTCTGGAAGAAATCTAATGTTGTCAACTTCTCCCTATATTGTAGCACAAATATTATGTTAACTCAATATTGTTGCTTAAGAACAGCAACATTCTCAATGTGGCCTTGAAACAAGCAAAAACTGTCGTCCACAACTGCAAATAATCAGATACCAAAAATAAGCTACAACAAATTACAAATCAATGTGCCAACAGAAATTCATTTACAAGTTAAACAAAAAACAAAACAAATCAATAAGTACAAAGAAACAAAAAGTATCTTCTTGCCATTAACAAATCAGTAAACTGCACAATACGATTAGTACTCCACATTGATTATATGACATTAACAATAGACACACTTGCTAAACAACCATAAAAAGAAACCAATAACAAAGACATACCTGCTCTAACCGTAAAAAGGGTTTACAGTTTTATGTCTTTTGTCAACTGAGTTCAAGAATACCTTCTACACAGCAGCCTTCTCCCATTTCTGCAAACAAAATAAAATAGTATTGTCATTGAAATTCAATTTTTTTTTTTTTTTTTTTAAAAATTTGCTTACCATTAAATCAGTTTATTCAGAAATCTTTCACTGAATGAACTTTGAGATAATAAAAAGTTTGAGTACCATGTGCAGTATTCAAGCATAAAAAGCAGAAACCCTAAACCCTCACCTCAGAAACCAATGCCTTACAACTCCACACAAAGGCTCCCTGGAAATGATCAGAAAGTACCACTAAGTCACATGCAGAGCAAGAGTAAACCAATGTGAATGTGCATTATTTTAGTGAAATACACAAGATTCCTACCACTACTTGTTTCATTAATTCAAAGCCATAAGATATATATATCAGAAAAGGTCACTCTGAAGTGAGGTAGTTCTGTCAAAATTCTGGTCAACAGCAGCAGCCTACAAGTAGAATTATGTCGTAATAACAGCTTAACAAGTTATCCTAATACAACTAGTCGATACTCCATGGTGAACTAATCTAATACGGCACTCAATATTTTCAGCACAAAGTAAATTTGTATGTAGGAGCTAAAAGACAAGACAGTGAAAGAAACTACCAAAAAAATTAACAAAATTTGTTATGATTACTACAAAGATTCTGAGTACAGTTTACTACTCCATGGGCCGCATGCCGATGACAGTGATCAGAAGTCACAACCCAAACGCTGGGCCATCCATCTTCCTTCAAAGCTACAATCTGTTACATAAACATGATGCCAGACTACTAATCAGAAAAGAGAAAAAATAATAATAATAAAATCACACTTCAAATTACCTAATGAAATAGTTCAGCATAGGCATAGGGTAACAGTTTCCATAATAAAACATTATGATTTGACCATTCGGAGCAGAGTGACAGAAAACTCTTTACCAGTGATGTCCGGCCACTTGATTATACCCATTATTAAACTATGAAAGAATGTCAGTTCGTCTCCACAACATAAATGAAGGAAGGGACATCCAACTACCTATAGCCAATAAGAGATGCATATGGAACTCAATCCATACCCGTTAAACTGAAAAATCCAATCATTTATGTCATGAAAGAAATGACGAAATCTTATATTTTTACCTCTTTCTCAATCCATGAATCAGCACATGTTTCTCCACAGAAAACTATATCAATCCTGCAACATTGTGAATTCTTGAGATTACAAACTTACGATCAATTTCATCATGGCAGGCAAGATTTCATTCCATAAAGTTAATAGTAATGTGAAGGAATTCAACTGATAAAGCAAAGTTTACAACAAAATCACATTGAATAAAGAATGCTTTGCAATTGGTTCTACTCAACAATAGAACCAAAATTATAAGAATAATAGTGTCAAAAAAACAAAATAATCGTAGGTTTAGGATCATAAATAATACCTGCCAAAACTTTCCTTCTGTGTAGGGAGTCCAGACAACATAGCATCAAATACAACAACCACTTTCACCTCTGTAAATATTAAAGACATGATAAAAGTGATGTTGTGTCTTCAACATATAGAAAACAAATAACCACAAAATTATTAGCACAGACACTTGATATGAATTCAAGACAATACTATTTCGAATAGTTGAAATATGAATAAATACATCTAAGAAAAACGATTGTGACTAATATTATTATCTTTACGCCTGTGTCTATATGGCTTTACCATTATAATACTTAGTTGAAACAAATAATACTCAGACGTGAAATTTCTAACAACCAAATTCAAGACGAGAGCTGACTCACCTGGATTTGATCACCCAGATTGATGACAAAAGCATTAGGAACAGGATCAACACCAACCCATTTCCCATTTTTGATCACTTGGAGACCACTAACTCCTTCAGATTGGCAAAGAATTGTGACTGCATCTGCGTCTGTGTGAGAACCCAGTCCCAAGGTCAACTCTGGCTCAGGACAGCGTGGATAGTAATTTGCCTGTAGTTTAAGACAATTTTTTTAGTTCGAGAGTTATACAACAAAAGATAACAATTCCTAGTCCTACCATTTCCTTTTTTTCTTTTTTCTTTTTTCTCTTTTCTTTTTTTTTTTTTCCCAATCCCGCCATTTGTTTGGTACATTCCGGATCCCGCTACTTTCTTTTTTGTAGATCCCGCTTCTTTTTTTTCACATCCCGCTAATTATTTATATTACCTCTTCTAAGTCTCTGCTCTCTGTTTTTTATTATGGTCTTTTGCTTTCTTTTTTGTAATTTTAACCTAGGGATTATTCACAATTCTCTTTTTCCAATAAACTATATTTGCATTGACACATTATAATTTCAGAATTTTAGTAAAATAGAAATTATTTTTTTATCATTTTATAAATCTTCACGGTTTTAAGAAATATAATATCATATTAGCTTGCTTTCTTTTTTGTAATTTTATTTTAATTGCTTTATTGTTTGGTTATGCGATTAGCCTGAGTTTTTAATCGGGGTAGCTTTTCATTCTGGTTGGTTTATGTTATTTACGGTGTATTTTGTGCTTTTTAAGGAATTATAATTACAAAAAGGGGTAAATTTAAAGAATTTAGGGTTAAAAAAATGTACACATCAATCCTAAAAAATCCACGCCAACACTACATGTTCAGGTGGCAATGGCACAGCCCCCCACGACACAACATGAAAATTTTGTATCGTGCCATGGCCCATGGGCCATGGGGGCTGTGCTGTAGGCCCTAAGTTTTGGCACATAGGTCAACCCGACACGGGTCGCGTGCCATAACAAATAAATAAAGAAAAAAAATTAGGGGATCAGGCTTATGGCATGTGGGCCGACCTGATATGGCACAACCTACATGCCAAAAAAATAAAAATATATATATTAAAAACAATTTTTTAGAACTTATTTCGGAAAATCTACAGATCCCTTTGCAATTAAAAATATAAGACGTTAAGGAATTATTACTTGAAATGTATTCAATTTATGAAGTCAAATATGGAAACAAATACGTCACATATAAGTTTGTTTGTCCATGTATAGCATAGGTTTCTTTTATTTTGTAGGTTTACTTTAATCATGTAACCACGGTATTCTTCCACCATAAGTGAAGCATTAATAAAATTTTTGAGGTACCGTCCTTGTTTTTTATAAAATATAATTATAAAAATTAAATAGAAACAATAAAATTTTTAAATATTTTGAGAAGGCACGTGGGCCGGCTCACGAAACACGACATGACATGGCACTTGAAGGCACGACACAGTGGGTCATGTGTCGTGCCGTGGGCCTTGAGTTTCAAAAATGTGGCACGGCACGGCACGACCCATGCCATGGTGGGCTATGGAAATTTTAGCACAGCATGCCCCACCACCACCTCTAGCTACATGTACACATCAACCCTCATAAATTTTACACATACACATTTTAGAATTAAAAAGTACTCACGTGATTTATTTTTAACAGTGTTAGATGTCAGTCTCTAAAGTGTTTGACGGTGTGCAAGTTCAGTACGTTTAATACAAATAATTGATAGTTTGGTACCTCCAATAGGAAAAACAAAATAGTTCCATACATTCAATAGGCAAAAAGTGATATTTAAGTACCTTAAAAATGTAATTAAGTAAAAAACATATACAATATCACAAATCTAAACATTTCTAAGTGTTAAATGACACTAAATTCTATTAAGTTTCTTAAGTAAAAAAACAAACACAACCTACTTGCGCTCCAGTAATTCATCATCAATTTTACGAGTTTAAATGACAATGTCTTATAGATTCTAGTTCACATGTGCCAAATAGAGGTGGCAACACATGTTGGCAAGACTAGGGCTGCAAACGAACCGATTAGTTCGCGAACGTTCGTTGTTCGTTCGATTACTGTTCGATAATGTTCACGAACAGCTCGATAGTTGTTTGATAATATGTTCGATCGAGTTCGAACAGGGGTTGTTCGTTCGATTATGTTCACGAACACTATATGTTTGACTAATCCATCCGTTCGATTGTTCGTTCGTTTATGTTCGAAAAATATGTTATGCATTATTATAATTAAAATTTTTTTTTTCATTTTTATATTCTGTTTGATTTAGTTTAGATGAATTTTTTTTAATGGTAATCAATAATAAAATATTATGATACTTTTGTTTTTCTTATATATATAAAATATGTTTGGATTTTTTTTTCCAAATGTCATCAATAATTAAATATATAAGTATATAGAATTTTAATTAAAAAGTAATAAATTATTATGATACATAGCATGACAAATTTAATAACATAATAAATTGTATAATCAAGTAATATATAATATAGTAAATCCAATAACATAATAGCTTCATATTTTTCTAAATGTAATCAATAATTAAATATTATAAGATAGCATTTCAATTAATAAATAATAAATATAGTATGGTAAATTGATAAACATAACATATTGTATAATCAAGTGATGTATAGCATACCAAATTTAATAATATAATAGTTTAATTAAACCTAAATTAATCACACATTTGTATTGATCATTTATTACAATAAACTCTCATATCACTATGAATTTATAGGTGTTGGTACAGAATAAATATGTACACAGTAATGATAATATATATATATAATCACACATATGTATTGATCATATATTATAATAGATTTTCATTCCACTCTAAATTTATGGGTGTTGATATAAAATATATATGTAAACATTTAAAATATTTATGATAATTCATGTAGTGATAATAAATATATGATAACCTATAATTTTGGTAATTTCATAACATATTTAACTTATGATTAATATATGTATGATAATAATTTTGTATATACACAATTACACATTATATATAACAAATTAATCACACATATATATTGATCATATATTATAATAGGCCATCATTTTACTATGAATTTATAGGTGTTGATACAAAATATATATATATAACAAATTAATCACACATATGTATTGATCATATATTATAATAGGCCATCATTTCACTATGAATTTATGGGTGTTGATACAAAATATATATATATAACAAATTAATCACACATATGTATTGATCATATATTACAATAGACTTTTATTCTACTATAAATTTATGAGTGTTGATACAAAATATATATGTAAATATTTAAAATATTTAGGATAATTTATGTAATGATAATAAATATATATATGTAAACAAATTTCTTTTGTTTGTGTCATGTTTGATATGGAACTAAATTTGTTTTGAACGATTTATTGTTCTGTTTAATTTGTTTTGAAGTTTTATTATTTATGATGATTAGTTATTTTAATTTAGTGAGTTTTTATTGATTTGTTTAAAATATAAATATAGATAAAGAGTTGGTTTATTTTCAAATGTTGAATTAAATGGGTATGAATTATAAATTGTTGCATATTTGTTTTTTAGAGCATGAATGGGAAAGTTAGTGTATATTTTTTATTCGAACATGTATTTACAAGTTATTGAACGAGTTATTCGAACATGTATTTATAAATTATCGAACAAGTTAGTCGAACAGGTATTTACAAATTATCGAATGAATTATCGAACAAGTTAGTCGAACAGGTATTTACAAATTATCGAACGAGTTAGTCGAACAAGTTAGTCGAACGAACACGAACGAGCTTTTTGTTAATTAAGCGAACACGAACACACATCATGTGTTCGTTCGAACACGAACGAGAACAATCGAATATGCTTATCGAACGATTTTCGAATGGGCCTGTTCGTTCATGTTCGGTTCGCTTGCAGGCCTAGGCAAGACCCACCATGGCATGACACAAAAATTTCGTGTCGTTTGGCACATGGGCCTTAAGTTTGGTTTGTTTGGCACAGCATAGCACGCCCCACATTTTTGTGGGCGATGGCATGCCATGGCCCATGGCACGATGGGTTGTGAAAATTTTGTCACGACACGGTCCACTACTACCTCTGGTGCCAAATGAATCAAGTTTAGACGAAATGAAAAATAAATCTAAAATTGAACCACAAAATATCATAGTAAAGTTGCAAAAGATCCTAACATTGGAATAAAATTGTAACACATAGGGTGCATTTGATTAAGGGAATATTGTATTATTGATAATGTTATATTAATAGAAAGATAAATTACTTTGAATAATACTGTGAATGTTTAAGGAAATGTGTTCGGTTAGTTAGAATAAATTGGTAGGTATGTTATATTGATATGTTTGGTTGGGAGGTAAATTAGTGGATATATTGTATAGATTACTAAATTGTTGTCCTTTTAAAATATTAAAATATTCTTATTTTTTGCATAATTTATTTATAAACCCTTACATTTGAAATTTTCCTAAAACACTACAACCATATAAAACTTTAATTTTTGGCAAATCACTCCCACCCACCTCAAGCCACTGCCGGTAATCGTTGGAATAGTGCACAGCTGGCTAAACTAGTCGGTTGTGCACCGGTAAGACCGTTTCCGGTTAGATCTGCCTATGATCTAGTTGTTTTTGACCAGATCGAAGGTAGGAAATAGCCAGATCAGTGCATCGCCGACTAGATACCCCCGGTCGTATGCTAATATGGCAACTTTCGTTGGCGACCAGCGGTGGTCTTGGGTGGCTAAAGGCATTTTGTTAACTTTTAAACTTTTTTATAGCCAGGGTGTTTTAGGTATATTTTCAAATGTTAGGGGTTTAGGTTAATTGTTATTTGGTATACATTTGAGGGCAATTGTGTCCAAAATTATATTTAATTAAAGGCAAAATAGGTATAAAATCAAATTATGTCAGTGTAACACATCCTCACAAAGTAATATGATTACCCTATATATTACCAACAGTAAACACTATTTACAACAAAAGATTATTGTAATATTTTATTATCTGCAAATCAAACAAGGGAATCTTGAAAATTAAACGAAGATTATCGGAATAATCCTATTTTACCTTGAACCGAACACAACCATATTAACATAATATAATATAATTAGCGGAGTGAAAACTGAATTAGATATAGGTGTTATTACAACAAACCACCATATGTTTCAGTTCCATTCCATTAGATTTTATACTTAGAATTTGTGGTTAAACAATCTGGGTTAAGCATCTTGGACTTTATTGGTTATTTTTTTAAGTT